ATACTCCACTAGGCGCGCATAGGATGCAAGAACACAACGGAGAAGATTTTGAGGTAGGAGTCACTATCCTCACGCACGAATCAAAAACATCAGCGCGAAAAACTCTTGAAGCGTTTTGGACCAATGCCAAAAATTCAAAAATGAACCGCAAGGAGGAGTGTCTTGTCATCACGCGTGACCTAGCGCCATACCTCAGGCTGATCCATTGATCTGACATGGACCCAGTTATTGACCATGTATTACTCTGTGCGGCGGCTATCCACCAACTAACTTAAATACTTACGACAAATAAACGGTAGGTGTTTGAATGAAGCTGTTTCTTATGCGAACACAAATCGATTTATCAAGTTTTATCTGCTGGGGTTATGAAAGTGTTTGGCTGAGTAGATCGCATCTCAATTTGACCTTTCCAGGCTCTGAAGAAGGCGAAACCGCCGAAACGTCAGCAATTGTGTTCTAATAAATTCTATATTAACAACCTCGTGTCTGCTTATTGATGAAAAACATTGAATTATCAATTAATGCCGAGGTTAACAGAAAGTCGGTCATGGGAATTACCATATGGATGACTGTCTATTGGCGATTGTTCATTCATTAGAAGGGTGTTTTCTAGATGTTCAAGGAAAGGGTTGTTCAATTGTGAAAGCTCTGATGAGCTATGGCGATAATACAAATTCAGATAACATCATGTGTTCTTGGTGCTTTGTTGATTCCCAGACAACAATTTTCGGGTAAAACGGTTCTTGCACAGACGTTATAGTTACTGAACCCATTTACTATGCTCCAGAAAATTAAAAGTTTCTTTAATGCTAATTCCACTTCGACAAATATTCCGATGCTTCACCTCCTTCAAACTAAGTAGAGAGCATCGTCGGTGGTACATTGTGAAATACTTACTTACTTACTTGAACGGCCCGTCCTCACTGGTTGTACGGGCCCCAACACAATCTCTATTCTTAACTCTTTTATTTACTGCCTTTTTCTTCTTAATGGCAGGGTATGTTGTGAAATATAACTCGTATGAAGTGCTGAGATATTTGCAAAACTCCGGACCACAGGTGTATGCAGTGGGGAACGAACACGCGCTGNCAGCGCGTGTTCGTTCCCCACTGCATACACCTGTGGTCCGGAGTTTTGCAAATATCTCAGCACTTCATACAATCTCTATTTTTCGGAGATTTGCTGGCTAGGCCATTCTGGTTCCCTGGAATCCCGAAGTCTGCCTGGCCAAAGTCTGCCCCAGATCGTCACCACCACAGGCAGTCACAACTCTTGTGGATCAGAGGGATATTTATCACTATGCGACTTTAATACCAGTGCGATGTTGGGTTCTGATATTGCTTTAATGTTAACCGGGTTTCTTGATGAGAACGCCGAACCCCTTTTCAGCTTTGTATGCCATGCTGTGGAGCGAATCCGACCGCTGTTCATCCCATACCGACACCCAGGAATACCTCCGAGCCACGATGAGGCGGTCAACCGTTAGGAGGACATTGTAAAATATATATGCGCATTCTGCGACATCACGAGGAAACAGAGGTTATTCCGCTGAACACAAAATCTGAAAAGCATTTCATAACGAGGAGTTTTTCGGTTTTCGTTCAATTTAGGTGGAAACTATGCGATTTTCTTTAAAAAATTTTAGCCCTGATGTGCTCTGAAAATGCTATTCTCACTATGTAGAGTTCTTAATTAATTTTGGAACAGTTTTCCATGCATCTTCTTCATATAACTTCTCCATATAGTCATCGTCAATGACAGCACGTTTTCACTAGCGCTTTTTGACAGACATACTTTGAAGTGATATTTGTAATACTTATAAAAGAAAAAATACACTGACCAAAGGTAACCATGTATACTATTTGTCTCAGTCTTGGGCTTCATCTCGTATGCTCAAAAGAATTTGCAAAAATTGCTATTCGGGCAGATTTTCTCTGGCCCAAGCAACTAGTGCTCGCTATTGCGGCGAACTCATGGGACGACGTCTAAATTCGTATGATTATTTGTTCTTTGAGAGTCGACCACAATTTTCCGATAACTAGAGCACTTGAGCAGCTGAGAACATGGCAAAATTATTGAAAAGACTTTGATTTTAGAAAGGGTTGAGAGCAGGACCAAAAGAAAGACCCGAAAGATGTGTTGATGAAAGCGTTAGGCCCCAGAAAGGGTAAAAGTGTGTTCAATCTCCACCACGGACACCTGCTATTCTGTGTTTTGCAAACATCTCAGCATCACTGTGGTTATGCATTGACTTAACTTTATCCCCCTAAGGGTACGCTTAGTGTTTTATCATACTATGGTCCATTATGCATCCATATTTCTGTCAGCATTTTGAAGTGTTGTGCAGGCATGTTAAGTCAGTTTCTGCAATTTTTCAACCGCCTATTCCACATGATAACAATGCTTTACTATAATGACTGAAAGCGAACTGGCATCAATTCCTCTACGCAGCATCTTACGGTAAATATCTCAGGAATTCCCGCATTTGATTCTTTTGGCCGCATCAATCGTCCTATTTCTCTCCCAAAATTAGGGTGGGATAAGCCTGAACCCGGTAACGCGTCACTTCGTCGGCAATGTATTAATAAGAAGTCGCTTAAATGGCTTCTAATATTCTTCAATTTATGTAATTTACTGTATTCGTACAAATATAAAACATCACAGCATCCGCTGTTAGTACAGTTGGCACATGCAAATGCGAAAAATTGAACCGTTATTCAAACTTCTGTAGTACAAGACTCTGGATATACCCGTATTGAATGAGTATGGAATAGGCCAGAGGAACATAAAGGACTAAAGCCAAACTAATAGCGGTTAAGAGAGCTGGGAAATTATTACGGAGTGGTAGCTGAGAGGAAAGAGTTTTGACAGTAAACAAGCAAATACCGTTTGTATCCTCTGAACAACAATTTGAGCCGCAATCAGAGGCTTAAATGATGACTTGCTCATTCATAGTGATTGAATAACTGAGAACGAAAGAATTATTCTTCGGGAACTATGGTTATCTAAGTTGATTATTGTTGTGGCTCTTTTACGTCTTTCATGAATGAGCAGGATTTCATGAGAAAATGTGATGATATGATCGACAATCTGGCACATCATACTTGAAAGTAAAGTAGTTATAACTCATTAAATGATGAGAATAGTTCCACTTAAAGTTCAACATCGCCCATAGTACTCATATAATACATAAAACATATCCCGCTTATAATCCCAAGAAACTGTAAAAATGTGACGAGTAAACTCTCCGCCATGTTGACTTTCATCAGCTCATTGCAACCTTCGCGGATTTCCGGTATCTGAAAACGCTAAAACGCATCCGAACTTAGAAAGAAAAAAACATCATATCCATTTAACACTATTGGTTATAACGTTCTCTTTAAAGTTGGATAATGCTGAGAAGATAAACACTCCCAGTTGACTGATAAGAAAGATTTTTGAGTGTCTTACTTCCAGTCGTTTCTGTGGTAGTTGCTTTCCATATGTTACAAGCTCGATTTTTTTAAATTTTTATTTGATCCATCTGCACTTCTACCGTGGCGATCCCAGCAATTCTCACATTCGATTCGTTTCATCTAATCCATTATGAACTAAGATCCTCAAACTTTTATGTGCGGCTTCAGCTACTGCTTGAGGATTTCCATTTCATCTTGAATCTCGTAGAATGCTGGTCGAGTCGATTCTCCCTGGAGCCCTGAGATAGCCGAGCCGGAGCGTTCCCAATTGAATTGCAGAGAGTGATTTTTTCCCTAACAAGCCCACTACCAATTTGACGACCCCGGAGGGGTGAGAGGCTCGGCTGGCTCAGTGCGGAATCGAACCAGCACCACACTCGTGATGACTGGCATTACTGCCACTCTGCTCTCTCTCAGTCCTGTACGAATGCTATTAAAAAGCTATTTTTAGTTAGTACAGCGGCAGTTATCCCGTTCAACACGCGGGCGGCCCAGCCTACCCACTTCCTAGCTTGATCCCTCACCGAGTCCACCAATGCTTTCGTGGTTGGAAATTTGGATCAAAACTCGTTTGAAACAAGCCCTATCTCTCTAATCCATGTGGGAATTATTTCGCATGGCTATCTCAGAATTTCAGAGAGAACCGACTTGGTCAGCATTCAGTGAGATTTGTGACGGAAACGAATAATCCTCAAGAAGCAGCCAAAGTCACTGGCAAAGAAAAACTTCGAAGGCGTTTGTGGTTGGTAGATGCGAGGAAAAGAGTCCAATATAGGCAGTGGCAGAATCTTCCTAATACATGTAGTGCCGGGTTATGTAAATAGGAAGAAAACAATTTTCTACACTGTTTTCTAGCTATACTGAACAGCAAAGGATGAAAGGATAAAAAGATGAAGCTCCCGGCGTTGATCAATCACTGAGGGATGCGCCATGCATTCGACTTCATTAAGCATCGTTCGGAGGTGAATGAATGCACATCCGGCCTTTACAACGAATCGCGGTAGCCTACCATGTATCGAACCAGTGCTGCTATCCTCCCAGGCAAGTTTAGTATCATTTTGCGGACTCCGAAGGGATGGAGAGCGTGGTGAGTCATGGGCCCGGGGATCAATTCCACGTGTATGTCGCAGGATACCTCCGACCGCTGCGCTACACCTAGTGAACGCCATGAAGTCTACGTGACTTCTCCTTCTTGTTTTTGTACCGCCGACTATCTAAAAAATTTTCTAATTCTGGTAGTTTTAAGGCTTCAATTCTCCCAGATAAATGCAGAATTTGGAAATATTTTTCTCATTTTTACTTTTTGGACCACTAAGCTGTGCAGTGCATTCATTTACTGGTAGTTTCGAGGAAGATAACATGGCTTTTCACAACTGGTGGACACATGAAAACGCAAATCATTTAGAGTGGTACTGTACTTACCAAAGTGCCGAGAAATATGTACAAATACATCCCAGAAGATATTGAAAAAATATAGTCATCATAGCCTTCATCGACGTTGTCCAGTAAAACACCACAGATAAAGCCCAGGTAGCTGAGAAAAATCGGTATCAGGTTAAAAAGCATGGCGCGCCGGAAACCAAGACCGGAATTGATCAAAATGGCAAGTGTTCCTGAAAATTGTTGATGATATCCCATTCTTTTTCGTCGTTCGAAATTTTAATGATGACAACACCTCTGATATTACAAAAAAGCGCTTCTGTTACGCACAGTACTTCCTTTTCAATTCGTTATCAATCTTTTTCACTATTCTATATTAATGAGACATAAAGGAGATATATAAAACTTACTTGACACTTGATACTTGAACGGCTCATCTTCACCGGTTGTGCGGGTCACAGCGTATTCTCCACTTTTCGGAGATTTGCTGACTAAGCCATTATGGTTTTCTGGAATCCCGAGGTCAGCCTGACCAAAGTCCGCCCCAGGTCTTCACCACCACAGGCAGTCGCGGCCCTTGTGGATCAGAGAGAGGCTTGCCTCCATGCGACTTTGATACCAGAATGGTGGTGGACGCTGGTATTGGTTTACTCTTAACTAAACTTCCTGATGGAAACGCCGGACGCCTTTTCATCTTGGGAGACGAATTCCCGTTTGTACATCGCAGTCCGACACGCGAAACACCATCCAGCCACGATGAGGCGGTAAACCATTGGGAGGATATATAAAACAAAGAGAAAAAACAACGAAAAGTCCCAGATTAGATATCATTGAAAGAACCAATCAATTTAACGATCACTTATTTACAGCAAGGCTACGTTAGCGGAAACTAATTTCTGAACTCAGCAGAAGATGAGATCAGAAGGTATACAGCTCACTCACGACTAACCTAGTTCTTGTGGAAACTGTTGGGACACGACTGCGATTCCGATGCTGAGGCCGCGAAGGAGGCTGTCTGAGAAAGCAGCTCCTGAAGCAGTTGCAGCAATTGGCAATATATTACCGTTTAGTAGGTCTGTTGAGCAAGATTTAATAACAGTGGAAAGTGAGGATGAGACACTTTAGTTTTATAAGAAAAGAACACTCGTCTAAAGTTAAATCAGGTGATGGTAATCTTGGCATTACTATATTATGAAAAATACCAGGTACAATCTTGATTTTCTCCATAATTATAGCCCAACTAAGATTGCACGGATTAGGTTGCCAGTGCCGATTTGCTATGACCATCCATGGTGTGTCCTCGATTAGCGGGTATGAGAGTTGAAACCATGTGAAAAGTTATAGTATGCCTATCCTGAGACTTTGGTAGGTTTAGGGAATGGCGTACTTGTCTCTTCTTTTCAATGTCTTATACTCGCATGTATATATATATATATATATATATATATATATATATATATATATATATATAAGCAGATATTTATCAATAAGTACCTGTGCATATATGCATGTGTGTATTCATATATATATATGTGTTAGGTGTTATATATGTGTTATATGTGCATGTGTTAGTATGTGTACGTGTGTCTCAATCTCAGTGCATGTATGTGTGTATATTGCTGTATCTCGTAGGCCATTTGGAAAACCTTTGCAGGAAGATGTCATGGAAACACGTGGAAGGTAGTTGGGGACCAGTTTGAACAGGCAGACTGGAAGTTTACTCTGGCAAAGCTAACAAGTTCTTTGTCAATACATCCAGCACGCTAATTTTGCTTGCATGAAGTGATGAAATGCGGGACTACTGTTAACATAGATGAAATTTCCAATGAAATACGTGGTTATCTGTAATGATTACTACTCAAATTCATACCCATGCTCATGCCGTCCACAAAGTTGTTTGCGCTAGATCCGAAAATTATCATGTACGCTACACTGGTGACTTCGATTTTCGACGGATCGATGACGTGCTTTTCAATTACCTTCACAGACAAGGAGATCTGGTCATCGCCCTCCTTAAAACTACAGGTTTAGGATTAAGGATTAGAAAAAGAAGAAAACTCACGAAGAAGAAGACAAAAGAGTTACAAAAAGGAAAAAGAAAAAAGAAAAAGGCACTTGTAATAATGAGAACCGCCTTCTTTTGTTATACAAATGAGTTCACTGCAATCATAACGTGTGAAAAATTTTCCACAAATACTTCTCGTATTTAGTAAACTTTTCTTTCGCCTGCATATCAACTACGGGTACAAAGGTTAGCGCTAAGAAGAGAACACGGCGAATATTGCTATGGTATGACCACATATTTGTCTTGGTCTATGACTACAAAGGAAGCTTACGCTATCTATACATTTAATGAAGTTAAAAAATTGAAACGCTACCGAGCTCTTCCTATAGGACACTTGTGGAGGAGATTCAGTGCTGTGGTGCTTGGATAACGATGAAAGCACCTAAAACTCAATCTATGCGTAAAATTAAAGGTGTAAGCGGCTACATTTGTAAAAAACTAAAATGAAAAACAGGGAGGGAGTATTTGTTACTTTCTTTTCGTGTGATCGCTCAAAGAATCAGCTATGATAAAAACCATCTTTTCATCCTCCAGAATGACAGTCCAAATTAGTGAATACTTTTTGAAAAGTAGTAGTTGAAAAGTGGATAAAATATCTATGACGATTTCAAGGAGATGCTGAGGCATAACTTACTCGCGAGACATCATTGTGAACAACATCGATAAAATGGTCTTGATTCTGAAACATCGTAAAACTCAACGAATCGCCAAGAATATGTTTAGAAATGCGTAAGAGACATGTACCCGACTGATTTCGTTATTGATGGTATCCAGAAATTCACTACATATCTGAAAACAATGCGTTGGATTCGAGATTCTTGAGCATAACACAATTTCTACCGATCTTCTTATATATCTATCATTCTTCTCGCATATTAGCCCTAAATACTCTGAGTAACAAAACTTAAACTTATACCAGCAATATTGTATTAAATGGATTACAGCACAGTGGCAGGCGTACAGTTCATTACGGGCAAGGGGCTGGTTCAACACCGCTTCGGGGCCTTCTATCTTCAGATGACGAAAAATTGGAAGAACGCCTGTACGCGATAAACTCACTCTCCCCAATTAACGTGCCAACATTCTGTTATAACACGAATATCTCGAGATTCCTGGAAAAATCGACTTGACCAGCATTTAGTGACATTCATAACTAAGAAGAAAATTCTCAAAAAGCATTCAAGTCCATATGCGAAAACTTCGAACATCTTAGTGAATTATGAGTGCGAGGAAGCGATTCGGAAACAGCAAGTTGCTGGATTCACAGGATATAATAGCTGACGTACTTACTTACTTAATACTTGAACGGCCCGTCATCACTAGTTGCGCGGACCCCAGCATAATAACCATTTTTCTGAAATTTGATGGTTAAGCCTTTGTGGTTCCCTGGAATCCCGAGGACAGCCTGGCCAAGGTCTGCCCCAGGCCTGCACCACCACGGGCATTTGCAGCACTTGTGGATCAGAAGGAGATTTGCCACCATGTGACTTTGAAACCAGAACGGTGGTAGATCCTTGTAAAGCTGATGTAGGTCATGTAAAACAGTATTGAATTCTCAATCGTCGAAGTAGGAATAGAATTTTATCCTTGTATGTACATGCATATATATATATATATAAGATTGCTCTCCCAACGTTTTAACGCCTCATCGTTACAGCGAGGTGTTCCTGAGTGTCAAACCGCGATGTACAGCAGTGGGATTCATTCCACGGCAGAGCCTCCCAAGCTGAAAAGGAGTCCGACGCTTTTACCGGGAAGCCCAGCAAAGAGTAAACCAATACCAGGATCCACCACCATCCTGGTATCAAGGTCGCATAGTGGCAAATCTTTCTCTGATCTACAAGTGTGGCGACTGCCTGTAGTGGTGACGACTTGGGGCGGACTTTGGCTACGCTGAGCTCGGGACTCCAAGGAACCACAATGCCCAAACCAGCAAAACTGCGAAAAATAGAAGTTTTGCTGGAGCCCGCACAACTGATGAGGACGGGCCATCGAAGCATCCAAGCACATAGTTGGCGGACGTAGTTGTGGTTCTTCTTTGTATGGAAGTAAACGTACGCTGTAAAACAGCCTCGCGATTGCCGAACGAGGAAACGACGCATTTGTAATCCATTGCCGACGTTAATAGAAAGTCGAACATGAGAACTATATATATATATATATATATATATATATAT